TCCTCTTCTATTTATCTGAGCCGAATCCTGATCCAGCAATGTGCACAAGAGCAGAAGCTCTCCTGGGTGTCTGCCTCCTCTTTGGCTGAGACATAGCAGATGGAGCTGCTGCTGTCAATCACAGCCAGTGAGGAGGAAGCAGAGGGCAGGGCCAAGACATACTCTGTGTGTCTCATAGACACAGGGGCAGCACGCTCGAGTGCACCCAGAGCAAGTAGCTTGCTATGAGGGCAGTCAGCAGGGAGGAGGGGCCAGGAGCGCTTGTGTGGGACTCAAGAAGAGGAAGATCATAACTGCAGTGTGCAAAGCCATTCTTACAGGAGACTTTGCAGCATCAGGAGCCATGGGCTTTTGCTGCTGTCAGTCAAATCCTGTGAGGAGGGAGAATCTATATATGCACACAGCCCGGCTCAGGATTGAGCGCACACAAGTATCCCCATAGCAGGGGGCTTGCTATGGGGGCACCGGAGAAGAGGAGGAGCCAAGATCGCCAGCAGGGGACCCCAGAAGAGGGGGTTTGGAGCCGCTCTGTGCAGAGCAGATGAGTTTGACCTGTTTGTTATTTTTAAAAAATGAACCTTTACAATCACTTTAAGCCTCAGAGCTGTAAATACAAAAATCTTATACATACCCGTTTTAACTCTTTCTTCTTTGGATGACCCATGACGTGTTTCATCTCACAGGAATGACTACAAGTTCCTCTACTGTTCTGCACGTTCAGTAGGATTGGCCGATATCACCAAGACCTTCCTCCAGGGGGTGAGTGAAGGGGGCTACATTCTGCCACCAGGTCCTCTCCTGCTGTCTCCAAGCAGCCTTTTTACTGCCCTTCATAGGTGAGTAGATCCAGAGAGCTATCCAGAACATTTTCCACACTGAAAAATTTGTAGTGAGAATGGGCAGCACCAAACCAGTTAGGATACCTTGTTTTTTTTTTTTTTTCCCCCTCTTCTGTCGAACTCTGGAAATGTATGGCTTAATTCAGCCAGAAAACTGTAAAAGAAATGGGGTGCAATGGACGCTGTCCTGAATACATAGCAGACCCCATGCTCCCTCCAAAGTAGTAGTAGTTTTTACAAAGATAGTTGCATGATACAAGGGGCAGATGTTGTACAAAAGGGACCATATCCTACATCTGTGCCTGGGGCAGCATGGTGTCAACATACAACTTTGCTGACTGTTTTAAACATCTACTTACGTGGCTGATTTATCAAAAATGGAATAAAGGTTTGTATTCGCAATGTCCTCGGCAAGGAAATTGTTTCAGTTTATCGTCTTCCCAGAATAACACTAGAAAAGCCCATTTCCAACCAGAACTTTTCTTTTCGTTTTGCATAGCACAGAGTACCTGGCTGTGTCATCCATCGTAAGGATGGTTTCCTCTCCCTTATTGGTTTGGTAAAAGGGTTCATGAAGTGATGGGAAATGTCTCCATTGGGGACAGAGACCGTAACAAAAACAAAATTGCTAATACAGTGGGGAAACATTAGAACCTCTTTAAAATTTGCATTGCTGTCTGTGTTTTTCTGTCTTAGTGACCCCCAATCCCTCAATGCTAATCCAAGTGCCACGGGGGTTGTCAATGGGACAAAAAGTGACAGAAAATCCTATCTGTGGAGTCATGGGCAATAATAAAAACCTTTAACCCTTTTCCACTCTATCGAAAACTAAAAAAAAAAAAAAAGCTTTGGCTGAGGATGGGCTTATTTTAAAATGTGACTGTTCTGCCTGCTGAAACACTAAATAAAAACAAAAACAATTACCTGTAGGGGAAATAAATGAGATATTATACTGGCCCTTCTTTCAGTTTCCACAGTGAAGGTTGTGATCTCATCCTAGTGCCTATGAGATCTCAAAGAATGGCTAATATTTCAAACCTCACGAGGTGCTGCAGCACAATGCATGATCATCTTCTCAGTGAGATTTGGGCTCTACTCAGCATACCCCAGGATCTTGTTGGAAGCAGGATGGTGTCACCCTTTCCTAGGAGCTGCAAGAAAAGTTAAAGAGTAACTCCACTTTTGTTGAGAAAAAGACATTCCCCCACTGGGTGATCTATGCACACAGGATTTTAACAAAGTTTGTTGCACAGTCCTACATTTTGTTATTCTGAAGAAATAGCTGTTTACTTGCCCATGTCCATGTGCAGAGTGAATCTGTATGAGAATGGTTTTTTATAATTATCAATCAGCTTCTGCACCTGCAGAGCTCTAATGAGGATATTGGCAGGGTCTAATTCCCTTTGGAAGTATCTCACCAAAAATGATTGTTGCAGGGGATGCCAAAAATCTGACTTGTATCTTAGTGCAGACTTCTGGGAAAATTAGTGAGCCAATCAAACAAGCAGGAAATGACATTTTCAGGGGGCGTTATTACACCATCTGTGTACAGGACACCTCCAGGTAGCCATATTGAATTTTACAGATAATTACAGCCCTGTATATTGAAAAGGAAAGGTAATTTTTAATATACTTCAATTGCAATATGACTTGCGTCACAATTGCGTACACTATATGTTTTTTTTTATTTGCCTGTGATGGGGAGTTACCCTTAAAGGGAATGGTGATATTATGGTATATATTTTTTTCTGCACGGGTGTTTTTTTCAAGAAGCAAGATTCACTTTAAATCTCAGAGACTGCCGTAGATATCCACCTATTTTAATTGAACAGTACAGGACACAGTATTCATAGACCATGGGTTAATATGCAGGCTACGTGGTGCACATGCAGTGCAGTACATGGGTTATATGCAGGCTGCATAGCAGCATCTGTCTCTCCACAGCCTAAACAAGCACCTATGGCACTAAGAAACTGGCTTTTCCAGTACACACACAAATTATGCATGTTATGAGGACTGTCCCAATCCTGAAAAGATTTTCACTCCTTAGCTTTTTGCTGAAATTTATCCTATAAAAAAGGAATTTAAGAAGAAATTGGTTATTCTGGTAGTGGATCCTGACATTTTCAATACAGTTCCTATTGGGGATGTGTTCTTTTTTAAGGATTTAGTTGGTAGGCACCTGGAAGTCATTCTATTCCATTGCAGGTTCTGCCCTGCAGCCAGCTATTGTTGCAATGTCTTTTTTGCCAGTCTATTGCTAACTGGACAAGATGTATGAATAAAGACCAGGAACATGTCTTTGAGAAATGATGCTCTCAGCCATATCATTATATGTAGACACTATAGAGAATACAATTTGCCAAATTATTATTATTATTACATCGAGTTTATATAGCGCCAAAGGGTTTGCTCAGCGCTGTACAATAGAGGGGGGGACAATACATGAAACAGTACAGCAACAACAAACAGCACACGAGGGGTTGGAGGGCCCTACTCTTTCGAGCTTACAATATAGGAGGGAGGGGGTAGTGGTACAGGAGGAAGTGGCTGTGGGGGATGGAGTGGTAGGAGGAATGAAGGAGGATGGCTGTTAGGTAAGGGTGGGGTAGGCTCCCTGAAGAGGTGGGTTTTCAGGGAGCGTCTGAAGGTGAGGAGGGAAGGCGACAATCTGATGGATTGGGGTAGTGAGTTCCAGAGGATGGGGGAGGACCTGGAGAAGTCTTGCAGTCGTGCGTGGGAGGAGGAGACCAGGGAGCAAGACAGAAGGAGGTCTTGTGAGGAGCGAAGGGTACGGGTAGGGTGGTACCTGGGAATCAGGTTGGTGAGGTAGTTAGGGGCAGTGTTGTGAATGGCTTTGTAGGTCAGAGTTAGCAGTTTGAATTTGATGCGTTGTGCAACCGAGAGCCAGTGGAGGGATAGGCAGAGGGGGGTGGCAGAGGTGGAGCGGTTGGTGAGGTGGATGAGTCTAGCCGCTGAGTTCAGGATGGTCTGAAGCGGGGAGAGCCTGCGCTGGGGTAGGCTGGTGAGAAGGGAGTTGCAGTAGTCGAGGCGTGAGATAATCAGGGAGTGTACGAGTAGTTTAGTGGTGTCTGGGGTAAGGAAGGAGCGTATCTTGGCGATGCTGCGAAGGTGGAGCCTGCATGTGTTTGTAAGTGATTTGACATGAGGTTGGAAGGAAAGGTTTGAGTCCAGAATGACGCCAAGGACTTTGGCTTGTGGGGCAGGATTGATGGTGGTGGTGTTGGTATTGATGGATAGGCTGGGGGGGGGGGGCATGGGCAAGGGGAAAGAAGAGGAGCTTATTAGAATTCCTCTTATCTCTTTGCATATTCACTGGAGCTTGTGGATAAAAGCATTGGGTTTGATTACTAAAAGTGGAGAGTGTAGAATCTGGTGCAGCTCTGCATAGAAACCAATTAGTTTCCATTTTATTTTTGGCAAAGCTTAACTGAACAAGCTGAAGTTAGAAGCTGATTGGCTCCCATGCACAGCTGCACCAGATTTTGCACTCTACATTTCTAGTAAATTAACCCCTTTAGCCAGCCATAGATGGATCGAATCTCAGCAGGTTCAGCAGGGACCAGCCAAGATTTGATCCATCTATGAGCAGGCTGATTGTGCCCAAGTTGATTGATGTTGGATTTTTAGCATGCAATTATTTCCATTTTGGGGGAATCTAGTGATTTTCTTGCAGGATAGAAAATCACATAATCTATGGCCTGCCTTAATCGCTTAGTACTTCAGTCTCGGAGGGCCTGTTTATAGCAGAGAGTGCATATCACTGGAAACCTCAGTGTTTACCCTACACCATGCCTGCATTTTTTTCTCTTCATTAAAATGCAGACCTTGGTGTGGAGTCTATTATGTCCCATGGTAGGTTCTCTGCATAATTCTGCAAGGGGTACTCCATTATTGGCTGATTACGCTATCACAGATCATACCTATGCAGATGCAAATAGATGGTTTAATAAAAAGTGAAGCATCTACAATTGCCTATAGCAACCAGATACATCCCACCTGTCATTTTGACACAGGTTCCCTTCTTTCATATTACAAAAGAGCCCTGCTTAAGGAACGATGAGATTTAAATATGCTATGATTATTGTACAGAGGGAAAATATTAAGTTTTTGATTTTTCTCTCTTGCAGGGAAGTTATAGAAAAGACCCCAGAGCACTTTAAGATTGCTTGTCTCTCTGACATCTTCCAGCTCTTCCCTGACCCCAGTCCTTTCCATGCTGCCTTTGGCAATAGGCCCAATGTAAGTATAAAGTAACCTATGAGAGGAATTAAGAGTCTACAGTAGGCAGTGAAGGGGAATGCACATTGGCTGGGTTTAACTGTTTGAACCTCAAACATCTGCATTTACTACATGGGAATCATAGGTGGCCAGCAGTGGGCAACAGTTTTACCAGGGTCACAGTGTACTTTACAAAATTGTTTAATGGTAATGGTTTTAGAAAAAAAAAAAAAAAGGAAAATAATAAGTGTCAATTCACATACACTTTATTGCCAAAAGTATTGGGACACCTGCCTTTACACGCACATGAAATTTAATGCCATCCCAGTCTTAGTCCGTAGGGTTCAGTATTGAGTTGGCCCACCCTTTGCAGCTATAACAGCTTCAACTCTTCTTGGAAGGCTGTCCACAAGGTTTAGGAGTGTGTCTATTGGAATCAAACCTCTGTGATCAAGCCCATGGTGGGCGGGTCAAAACAGGTCAAAACACATCATAATCCCTCCTCCACCAAACTTTACACATGGCACAACGTAGTCAGCTAAGTACCGCTGTCCTGGCAACTGCCAAATCCAGACATGTCCATCAGATTTTCAGACAGAGAAGCATAACTGGTCACTGCAGAGAACACGTCTCCACTGCTCTAGAATCCAGTGGCGGCGTGCTTTACGCCACTGCATCCGACGTTTTGCATTGCACTTGGTGATGTAATACTTGGATGCAGCTGTTCGGCCATGGAAACCCATTTCATGCAGTGCTCTACGCACTGTTGTTGTTCTAATCTGAAGGCCACACAAAGTTTGGAGGTCGTTAGCTATTGACTTTGCAGACAGTTGGCGACTTCTATGCACTGTGCGCTTTAGCATTGGCCGACCCTGATCTGTCATTTTACGTTGCCTACCATTTCCTGGATGAGTTGCTGTTGTTCCCAGTTGCTTCCACTTTGTTATAATACCACTAACAGTTGACTGCGGAATATTTAGTAGCCAGGAAATTTCACGGATGGACTTATTGCACAGATGGCAACCTATCACGGTACCACACTTGAATTCACTCAGCTCCTGAGAGCGACCCATTCTTTCACAAATGTTTGTAGAAGCAATCTGCATGCCTAGCTGTTTGATTTTTTAAACCTGTGGCCATGGAGATGATTGGAACATCTGGATCTAATGATTTGGAGGGGTGTCCCAATACTTTTGGCAATATAGTAGATATGCGGATTGGATGCGGTTCGAACCGCATCTAATCCACATGACATGAGCAATAACATTGCTTCCTATGGTGCCTGTTCACATATGTCAGGTGCAGAGTCATGTACGATTGATGAGCAGTGCTCTTTGGTTCAGGTACGGATTACAGGATATTTACTGCTATGGGAATCGTTTCTAAACCTGATAAGTGTGAACAGTGTAAAATCCTGAGCTGATCCTGTCTGGAACCTGATGTAAACCTGACCTGAACTGGTGAAGCTACTATGTCTGCACCGCACATGTTTGAATCAAATCAGCACTAATACTTTTGAGCCAACTGTTTTTCCAAAATATACAGTATATGTGTTTACCTTTTTTTTACAAATTAAATAAGCAGCCATGCAGTAGTTGTTTCCTTTCAGGCTTCCTGTCTTTTAGAGAAACCATGGATTGAACCCTACAGAAGGAGGGGAAGGATTCAGTGCTTACTCACTTGTGTGTGTAAATTTCAGCTTGAGTTCCTGAGCTCCGTGAACAACAGTTTAATTTACAAAGTGCCCAGTGCATGCATAGAGCAAGGAGACCCAGTTATAAAAGAGTGTTGTGGTGAAATTGCGGATGGCGCTGCCAAAGCATAAGTCCATTCCAAGATATCACCAGCACACCATATTTAAGCAAACAAGACAATTTAATGTCACCAACAGAAAGAAGCAACCAAGACCGGGACAAGGGGTGGGCAAGAGGGGCAGCTGCCCTGTGCAGCTTTTAAAGAATTGGGGAGGGGCACAGTTTTGCTTCTATGCCCTGGGTGCTGGATAACCTTGTCCCGACACTGGAAGCAACTTTTTGAGGCTACTTGAGGCCATTTCCTCAGGCAGCAGTGACACTTACATTAGACAACACTAGATGTGCTCGGCAGTTGAGTATGTTTTTTGAGGACAACTCAGCTGTCAAGGTAGGAGAGAAAGAAAATAAAAAGGGGGAGTGAAGTTCCTCTTTAATTAATTGAAATGATTTTTTAAATATGTTTAGTGCTGACCATAAGGATTAAAGAAATACTATAAAACTCTACTATAATTTTCTGATTAGACTCCTTTTTATATTTGTCTTTTACCCACCTAGTACTACATCTGTGAGTACAAGGTACATGGCCACTATAAGTATGTGTATAATGGGGGACTAGTGAAAGACGAGCCATGCGGGATCAATGAATTTAGGATGGAGAGCCGGAACTCCATTTCAGAGGAGTATGCAGAAACACAATCTGATGAGAGAAGAGGGCTGGATTGTATGGAAATGTATGTGAACATAGCATGAGAAATAAGTCTTGTTCTCCCCCTCTTACCATTTCCTTGTTTGTCTACCCCTCCATCTTCCCATTCTTCTGTACTCGTGCCAATCACCCACTCATCGCAGGATGTCCTAGCCTACAGGGAAGTGGGGGTGCCAGAATCTCGGATCTTCACTGTCAACCCAAGGGGAGAACTGACCCAGGACCTGAACTCTGGCTTCAAATCTTCGTGAGTTTCTGGGCTGTTTGCAATGAGGGGGAGGAGGGGGCTCTGTAACATCACAGCCATATGTAGTCACACATGTTCCTTCCCACAATGTCCAGATCCTCTCACCTGCTTCTATAATCTCATGTATTGTACTTTATTTCCCAGTTGCTGTGATTTGTGTTGCCAAAGAGAATCAACACTTATGCTGCTCACATGATCTGTTCCGCTGCTATGCGATTATGACATTAAATTATATAATATCAATTTCTTTAAAGAGACAGTCTACCCAAAAGTCATTATTTATAGAGGGTCTGGTGGGCTGTCACCTGCTGGCTTTTTATTCCCCATGGGGACTCCAGTTTTATAGTCCTTGCCTCTGTTAGTACCCACCAGGGAATCTTATGTCTGCTACAAAATGATTGTTCCCAACTCTTTTTATTCTGTCCTTCATAATATAAAGCCCAACTCCAGAAAAAAAAAATTCAATTTGATAGGTTAAAATTTGTCATGTTTTATTGCTGGCTGTTTTCCTATTAAGAAGGATTCTCTTTACAGAGACCATGTTCCTGTACTATTAACATCAGCAACAATCCTCTCATAAGGATATATGTAAAATTAATATGCTTTGTGCGTCATTCTCCCGGTAATTATTGATGATATTATGATGATGAACAGAACCGACACTGCTGATTAGTGCCGTCGCCTTACATGTGACATTAGAAACCCTAGGCAGACTCAGAGCTGTCACTCAAATGACGCTCTGTAGTAGTCTCCTGCTATCATTTATTTATGTTTGAGGCTCACTACGCAACTTCTCATTGATCTGATTGTAATAGGTCAAAAAGAGTGCCAAACAAAAAATCCTTAGCAGTCCAAAGGCTTTATTGTTCAGTTAGTTACAACATACAAGGCAAGAAACAGCCAACACATTTCGGGGGCCACTTGATCCCCATTCATCAGGGCTGGGTGAAATGTCAGAATATTAAATGGAATAAAAAATGCTCCTAAGGCGAGCCTTAGATGGATCGATTTGCTTTCCTGCAACCACGGGTTGCAGGAAAGAAAATTGCTCAAATCCCCCATCAACAGAGTCAGTGTTGATGGGGAAATCCCTCCTGCAGATCTCTTGTGTTCTGCCAGCGGGGAGCCATCCCAGCCATCAGAACACAATGGTTACTGGTAGCGGCTATAGCCACCATCAGTAATTACATGTAAAAACCAGACAGGCATTGAAGTCGATCAATGTCCCTGCTGAACCAGGCAAATTTTCGATCCATATATGGTTGCCCTAAATAAAATAACAGTGGTTCTAACCTTCTACTAGTTTATTGAAAACAAATAAAAAATGCAGGTGGTGGGGTTTTTATATCCATCTTGGAGAGTTCGAGCTCCATGAAATAGCCAGATGTGCAGGCCTGGGAACTCAAGAGCACGTAGTATATTAAAACAGTTTACCATTACACACAGCATCTAATACTGCTTCTCTCCAGATGATTTTCACCGTTCTTGCACTATAGCAAAGTCGATTACACCTTTCCCACAAACTCTGCTAGTCTGTCTTTTTTCTCAGTTTCTGGGGAACGACCTTGACCAGCAGGAACAGACCCCTTTTATCTGATTGAGACAACAATACCCTCCAATTACAGGATCTCTATAAACCAGCTACAGTCAGAGAAACAAGACCAAACTTTATAATCTCCTTACAAGTAGAGATCTTTCCATGACAGTCCCTGAGAAACATAAGAAGTCATTAGATGATTTAACTCTTCAGTATCTACCAAAAATGAAATATTGGATTTGAGTAAAGTTGAGCCTTTAAAGAGGACCTCTGGTTTGGATGCTGATCCCAAAAGACAAGAAGAGGACAAAAGACTAATCACCAGTATTGCCTGTTTTCCCTGCAGCTGATCTTTTTTCCCACAACTGAGTTACCATGTCTTGTCTCTCACTGTCCACAAGGCTTTGGAGAGAAGTGATAAAAAGGAACATGGGTATCAGTGAGAAATGCAGTTGATTTCAGTAGCTGTTGGAGCTTGCCTTCCCACATATACTATAACCTGTTGACGCTGGCCACACGCATATATGCAGGAGCTCGGCATGTGGGTCTTGATGCCCTGCATATATGAGGCCCTGACAAAACTAATTACCATGCTGAGAGCGTGTTCCCAGCATGGTAGCCGGCAGTGATTGGTAAGCTCCCAATGCCTACTTACGATCGGGAGCTTTTCAATCATCTGACCGCTATAACAGCCAATCACAGTGGTCACATGACCCTAAGGCCCACCTCTGCCTGCCGGCTTTTAGAACCCTTAAAGGGCTGGGAGAAGGTTTGTGCCAAAGGGTTAAAGCCCCAGGCCAAATATTGACTGAAATCGGCCAGTACAGTAGATACTGGCTGACATTCGGTTCGTGTGTATGGGTCCTTGTTTGACAGAAGTCGATCTCTTGGATGGTTTCTGTCAATGGACCTTGCTGCAAGTGCTGACCGGTATGTTCAGGCAGAGTTAGGGCAGTCCCCCTGTTAGAACACAATAGCTCAGCAGGGAGATTGCTGTACTAATGTTGCATCATTAGTACAAAGACCTCCTCAGTTTTTTTTTTTGTGTTCAGTTTGCTGGGTTTGAGTTTTTTTAAATCTTTTGAGTCCAATTTTTTATCAGTGTATTGAGCTCTGATAAAGGGTGTCCTGTCTCCTGACACCTGTTGGATTATATCTTTTGGATATACTATGATGTAACAAAATATTTGGGCTGTCAACCATTGGTGTGGTGCTTCTAAATCTCCTTTGACAATGCATTTCCCAGTGACCTCTTTGTGCATAGCCTAACCTGGTCCAGTGCCTCCAACTCGTTCTTTCTTGGTCCACACTTTGGGGTTGATTTACTAAAACTGGGAGAATACAAAATCTGTTACAGCTCTGTACAGCTCTGTACAGAAACCAATCAGCTTCCAGGTTTTTTTTTTTTTATATATATCAAAGCTTATTTGAACAAGCTGAAGTTATATGCTGACTACCATGCATGCCTGCACTAGATTTTGCACTCTCCAGTTTTAAATCAACCCATAGTCTCTGCAGTATTTTGGTCTTTGCTTCTCCATATCAGATTTGTCCTTCTGATGACTGGTAATTTGATGACCTGTAGGAGAATATTCAAGAAGCATTAGAGGAGGTGCATAAGTATTCATACTTGAAATTTTACACATTTTGTCATGTTACAACCAAAAACGTAAATGTATTTTATTGAGATTTTATGTGATAGACCAACACAAAGTTTCACACAATTGTGAAGTGGATGGAAAGTAATAAATGGTTTTCAAATTTTTTTACAAATAACTATCTGAAAAGTGTGGCGTGCATTTGTATTCAGACCCCTTTACTCTGATACCCCTACCTAAAATCGAATGGAACCAATTGCCTTAAGAAGTCATCTAATTAGTAAATAGAGTCCACTTGTGTGTATTATTTACTGAGATTATTTAATCTCAGTATAAATACAGCTGAGGTTTGTTAGAGAACATTGGTGAACAAACAGCATCGTGAAGGCCAAGGAACACACCAATACTGTAAAGCGAAACAAAAAGAAAGCGCACCAACCTTGCGCATTACCTCAGTAAAATGTGATTTTATTGAATTTAAAATATACTCACAAACAGAGAAGTATAACAAGCGTGTAAAGGCCTTAGCGAGACTCAAGGAGTCTGAGACCAGCAGGAGTCTTATCATGAGTGAAGATTCTCAAATTCAGTCTGACACGTTTCGAAGGGAGTCCCTTCTTCTGTTTTTGTTTCAAGGAACACACCAAACAGGCCAGAGATAAAGTTGTGGAGAATTTTAAAGCAGGGTTTTAAAAAAAAAAAAATCTCACTTAGCACTGTTCAATCCATCCTCCAAAAATGGAAAGAGTATGGCACAACTGCAAACCTACCAAGACTTGGCCATCGACCTAAGCTGTTAGGCAGGGCAAGGAGAGCATTAATCAAAGAAGCTACCAAGAGGCCCATGGTAACTCAGGAGGAGCTGCAGAGATCCACAGCTCAGGTGGAAGAATCTGTCCACAGGACAGTTAATAGTCATGCACTCCACAAATCTGGCCATTATGGAAGAGTAGCAAGAAGAAAACCATTGTTGAAAGAAAGCCATAAGAAGTCCCGTTTGCAGTTTGTGAGAAGCCATGTGGGGGACACAGCAAACATGTGGAAGAAGGTGCTCTGGTCAGATGAGACCAAAATTTAACTTTTTGATCTAAAAGCAAAACGCTATGTGTGGCGGAAAACTAACACTGCACATCACCCTGAACACGCTATCCCCACCGTAAAACATGGTGGTGGCAGCATCATGTTGTAGGAATGCTTTTCTTCAGCAGGGACAGGGAAGCTGGTTAGAGTTGATGGGAAGATGGATGGAGCCAAATACAGGGCAATCTTAGATGAAAACCTTTTAGAGTCTGCAAAAGAGACTGGGTGGAGGTTCACCTTCCAGCAGGACAACGACCCTAAATGTACAGCCAGAGCTACAGTGGACTGGTTTAGATCAAAGCTTAATCATGTGTTAGAATGGCCCAGTCAAAGTCCAGACCTAAATCCAACTAAGAATCTGTGGCAAGACTTGAAAATTGCTGTTCACAGACGCTCTCCATCTAATCTGACAGAGCTTGAGCTATTTTGCAAAGAAGAATGGGCAAAAGTGTCCCTCTCTAGATGTGCAAAGCTGGTAGAGACATCCCCAAAAAGACTTGCAGCTGTAATTGCAGCGAAAGGGGGTCCTACAAAGTATTGACTGGGGGGGCTTAATACAAATGCATGCCACACTTTTTAGATTTTATTTGTAAAAAAATGTTGAAAACCATTTATCATTTTCCTTCCACTTCACTTATGTGCCACTTTTGTTGGTTTATCACATAAAACCCCAATAAAATACATTTACGTTTTTAGTTGTAACATGACAAAATGTGGAAAATTTCAAGGGCTATGAATACATTTTCAATACACTGCAGATTGATAAATGAATGACGCAAAAGTAGAAAGGCCCTTGCATTGCATGTCCTTAGATGCAGCTTCACCTCCAGCAAGGAGAACATTGAGCAGCACAGTAATATCGCTGAATCTCACTCCAGTTCACATGTGACTAGCAGTCAGAGGCAGCAGTGCCTTGGATGATATCACACGGCAGATGAATAGTTATGTGGCTTTAGGTTCATGGGTGACTAGGCACAGTCACATGTCAGGAGGTGCACAACTAATTTTTTAGAAGAAATTTAAGACAAAAGGTAGATTTTTCAGGGTACTGAAAAGGCACAGTAAACAATTCTAAATGTTCACTATAAGATAGCAGATCTTTATGAGTCTATGTCCACTTTAATATTTTCCCTCTATCTACCCACTTGTCCCTCATAGCAAATAGACTTTCCAATGCTTAAAGCAACTTTGGTGATGCCACTACTTTGGTGCCCACTGTTCTCCTTGCTGGGAAACAGGAAGAACACAGGAAGCTGTGTTGGTTTAATTCACTACGTGGAATCCTCCAGCTCTGTTGCTGCTTATTTTATTACCTTACCAGTCATCAGTGGGGCAGCTCTGACATGAGGAGGCAAAGCCTCCTCATGTACAAAGGTGGCTGCCTTCACACAGAGAGACCATGCAGAGCAAGCCATGGTAAGTCAATAATGGGAAAAGATCAGCAGTAGAAAGACCACCAATGATACTGAAGATTAGTCCTTTGTCCTCTGCTTACCTTTTTTGACACAACTTTCACAGTATAGGACCTCTTTAGGTGTACCACTTATGTCCATCAGGCGAGTGGTAATAGAATCAGAAGCAGTTCCTGGTGCTACTAAAGTTGGGCAAACATTTGCTTGTCTATGTTAAGGCTTAACTACACCTGTTCTTACCTGCAGTCATCTTTAAAGCATATCATGTGACAAGAGTACCTTTGTATTTGTTAAACATATCAGATTTGTAGATATTTGATAACAGTGCCATTCACATATAATCAAAGGCATCACTGCAATCTAACTACAAATCTATTTGCAGAATATTTTACATATATTTATGTTATGAACTGTTTTTGTGACTTCATGACTGCCAATGGTCTTTGTTCTCACAGGTACTCTGCTCTGTGTGATTTGGTGAATGTCATGTTCCCTCCTCCTTCGTCCTACGCCATCTCAGCTCTGCTGTCTCCGCAGTTTAATGACTTTTCCTATTGGAGAGACCCAGTGAGCAGTATTAGTGAGGAAGAGCTTGTGCACATTTCCTAAGAATTGTATGTCAAGTGTCCTTTTCCCAGAACTTGTATGGCCAGTCATGGACATAGGAGCCATTAGAACCACATTTTTGCAAAGGCCTAAAAGGTTCAACCCTGGGGATGATCTACAAACACTGGAGAGAAGGAACAACAAAGTGTTCTTCACAGCAGACATTCCTGATGTCATTCTTCTACTGTAGGTTACAAAATGAAGAAGTCTGATGTCTGACCGGTTGCTGCAGTAAGCTATTCAGTTCTTCCATTAAAATAAATTTTTATATATAAGGCATAAGTTTTACGTTCTAATGAGACAATCTTCTCTTCAAGTAGCCATAGCAGGCCCAATGATCAATAATCAGGTTGTTTTGGATGTAATCAGGTGATGGTTCACTGGTGATTTGAAGACCTGTAGGAGAATGTTCAAGAAACCTCAGAAGAGGTGCAGAAAGCATAGATACATGAATGAATGAGTAAAGTAAAGAAAAAAGATCCTTGCACTGCAAGTTCTTAGATACAGCTTCACCTCCAGCAAGGATAACATTGAGCAGCACAGTAATAATATCTCCAAATCATATGAGACTAACCGTCAGAGGATATAGATTGATGAAGTGTGTATATTCTGAATTTTTCAATGCTCCAAGAGGCTAGTCCTCTCTTTGTTTACTAAACAGCCAATTTGAAAGATTTTTTTTTTTTTATTTGTTTATATATAGGCATGGTTTTTTGACTGACCATTTCATTGCCTTCATTCCTGAATTGCGTGATTCACCCCATATCAAACAGATCTGCTCAAAAATATGCAGGCAAAGCAAAAACTGCTGCATTGCTGATTGTCATGTATGTCCAAAGCTGGTCATAGATGGATAGAACTTTCAACAAAAATTCTTAGGAAAAGTCTTAAGAAAATTTGTACAAAAATTCTCAGAACGTCCTCAGAACATTCAAATGTTTCTTGAAAGATTTTGTTTGCTTTAAACATTTGATTTTGGAATGAATGGACTTACCAAACAAAAACTACACACACTGTTAGAAATTTGTTTATTTGAGACAAATTTGCCATCTTACTCCTTCAAATTTTCTCATCACCGGGGTAAAAAATGAACGTTGATTTGACTCACCGATGATTAGAAAGATTGAACAAACTTTCTTCAAACATTCTTTTGAAATATTACCCATCTATGGCCAGCTTAAGTAAGTTAAAGGGTCAGTTCACCAATAACTAAGTAATAAAACCTCTGCACTAAATGGCTATCTATTGTATGATAAATCCACAGCTGCTGTAAAAAAAACAAATATAATTGATATAAAAAACAATTACCAACAAAACATAAAAAAAAAAAACAAAATAACATAATACCCCTTACCTGGAAAAATAAGCCCCTTCCCCCCAAAACCCCAATTATGTAACAAATAACCAAGCTGTTCCAATCAGTGAATATACAATATGTTTTCCAATCCACATTCACAGCAATAATACATTGCATGCCTCCACCTAAAAAAGAAACACAGCTTACCAAATATAAATGACCTCCACAAAAACTGAAGGTCAAAATACACAGGAAATGTATTATCCAAGTGATCAACACCCTCTTATAGTGGATTGCTAATAACAACAACTGCATATCTTAATATAGAGAACTCCCCTTATCAAATCAGTGACAGTAAAGAATTCAGAATTAAAATGCTTCCAATCATGAAATCAGGAACAAAAAAAATGTAAACAAATAATAAGGATACTCACATGATATTTGTGCAACACAGCAAGCCATTCCAGATAGCTTGCAGTTTTGATCAGCCTATGGTGGTATGTTAAAGTGATTGTAAAGTTTAAATAAAAAAAAAACAAGAAGCAAAGAATAGCACATAGCTGCCCTGATCCTCCTCTTTTGGGTTCCCCCACTGGCCTGGCTCCTCCTCTTCTAGGTGTGCCATCATCTGCAGGCTCAATCCCATGCCGTGATGTGTGCATCCATTGATACGCACAGTGCGGCTTGGCCCTGCCCTCTTTTTACAGGATTTGACTGACAGCAGCGGGAGCTGATGGCTCCCACTGCCTCAGCAAAGAATGTGAAAGCGGGGAGAACCGCTACAGATGGGCACAGCGCTGGATCGAGTGAGGGCTCAGGTATAAGGAGAGGAGAGGGGGCAATATTATTATCTAAACATTTTTTACCTTAACCCTTTGAGGACCGTAAGGTTTTGGAATGCCAAAAGAATCAATTTTTTTGTTCGTACACTTCAGTTGCTGTAACTAAGCCATTTCATGAAATAATTGGCAAAAAGCTAGATCCATTTGTTGTTTGTTAAGAACTAATATTTTGACTCAAACCAAAAAAAAAAAGAGTTTTAAGTTCTTAATCAGATGATACACGCAATTACAAACATGGGACAAATACGTCCCTTGGTCCTCAAAAGGTTAATGCAGGAAATGCATTAGAAAAGGTTTAAGCTTTAGAACCACTTTAATGCTCAGGTGTTTGAACCTATCAATATGCTGAAACACAAGTTTTTTTTCATTCACTGACTCATGTTGTGTTAAGGCAGCCCATTCACTGTGAAAAGGCTTTTAGAAAGGGCCATATGCACTATTTAGTGCTTTCCTGTACAATTGTGGTGTGTTGAAGGGAAGTTGTGCTGGATTTTACTATATATGTGCTTTGGAGTGCCATTCGAATGATAGTGCAGAGTGTTCATGTGTGTGGTACGCTGCAGGTCTAAACACACGTTACCACAAGTGCATGTTTGTAAATCCAGTCTAAAAAAAAAGCCTGTGGGTAACATGACCTGCTGACATTTGCCTAAAACAAAAAAAATAAAAAAAAATTTGGTGTCCTGACACTTTAAAGATGCACCTGTAAAAAAAAAATTAAGCAAGTTACATGTTACCATCTGATTTTACAATCTCCTTTAGATTTGCCATGAACTTTGTAGTTTGAGGGCCTACCCAAGTGTATGGATTATTTAGGTATGCCCTCAGCCCATTTACACCTGCCTGTCTATAGGGATGAATGGACCTTCCGATCCAATCTGTCTGAAAACCTGACAGGTGAACCTGATCGGAAGCTGTGTGAAAGTCCCCTTCACACAGCTTTCGATCAGGTTCACCTGTCAGGTCTCCTCCTGACCAAGCTGGTGTACATTTCCTATCCTCTGTGTCCTAGAACCTGGCCATGGAGTATGACTATCTCCTTCTCATGAAGTTATCCTTGGATGCCCATTATTCCTTATGACGAGACATAGCGTGAATACCATTATTAAAAGTGGGGATGGAGTATAACAAAGCTGTCTAAGCTCTGGGCAGTGTAAATTTCTCTTTTTGAACATCACATACATGATTTTTATATGGAGGGTGATGAGGAATTGGCTGAATACAATGAGTTAGGCCTCATTCACATGACCAATCTGCCTGCAGCCAGGCCCACTTATCCATCCACATATACAAATGCTTGAAGTTCCACAACCTGTCATCGATTTGTACCTCTGGGCCACATAAACACACAACTTCTTCATGTTGTATGGGTCTCTGTGGCCATGTGAATGAAGCCTTAAAGTAGACGTTCACCCAAAACCTAACTCTAAACTTACTCGCAGCCACAATCTAAATCTAATCTATCTAGGTCTATCTAGCCCTGTAGAGAAGAAATCGCTATACATACCTGTTCTATAGCCACTCCATCCGAAGCTGAGCTGTTAGCGATGGCTTCAATGTGTAGGAGTGTGCAGGAGAGGAAGTCAACAATGGAAGCCCCATTGTAAGTCTATGGGTGACATCACTTTCCAGGCATTTCCCAGCCTTTGTTGGTTCTCCCCTGCACACAGTATCCGCTGCTGGAGACCGGACCAGATCGGCTTTAGAAAAGATATGTATAGCAATTTCTTCTTTACAGGGCTAGAGAGATTCATTTTAAAATGTGGCTGCAAGTAGGTTTAGAGTTAGGCTTTGGGTGAACTTCTACGTTTAATGTGGACCTATCAGTTTTGCTTCACCTACATCAACATCAGGTGTTTCAAGCAGACACAAAACACGTAGTCGGATTCAGAGACCTTTATTACGTAACAAGTTCAAAAACACAGTTAATTTGATTTCACAAAACAGAAATACACCTTATATTAATCAGCATCATAAAACCAAAATACGACAAAAAAAAGTCAAAAGCTGAAACTTTCTCTCACTTTCCTGTTTTGCTTCAATTTGACTGAAAAAAATAATATTGTACATCTTAATAATAAAAAAAAAAACAACCATCCTCTCAGATACACACAGGATAATGCCAACAGAAAAACAGTGTAGCTCTGCCCCTTCCTGGAGGTTAAGAGCTATTCGAGGAGGCAGCTACTTGGAATGTCATGTAGAGGAAATGTTTACATTAGGGGTGTTAGAGGCTACTGACAGCCAAAGAATGCCGATGCTATTCATCCTGTCAACATCCCGAGAGGTCCATCCAGACACAGCCATGATTTAGTGTTGTGCAGGACTAGATTAGATGGCTAACTGCTCTCCAGAGACCTCTTAGGTGCCTCTTGTAAATGAATTGTAATTAAAAGAATGCTTTTATTATACAGAATTTTGTAATGTAAATATGTAAAGTTTTAGCTGAAATGTACACATTCTTTATCCTTGTCAAATTGATGGTGTTTATTCTCAACAATGCATTTATTCCTTCAGGCCAATCATACCTGGTGTAGCTACGGAACACAAGTCCTTAGTAATATATGCATACCAAAGTGCCCTGCCAGCACTGCAGCAGCATGCTAGGCTTTATTTAAAGGGATTGTCCACCCAAACTGCTGTTTGTTTTTTGGCGGGTGGTATTAGATGCTGTCACCCAAAGGGGCCAACAAGGTAGGAAGATTCAGCTTCTGATCTTCTTTCTACCTTTCTATTTGGTCTCCTGACATTTATATAAAACCTCTGTCGGTGTTCACTGACTAGGCCCAGGTGATTTAATGAGAAAAGGGTACAAATTTAGG